TATTGATTTTATTTAATTTTTGCAATACTTGGGATTGAACCAGGCCTTTGCACTGAGCTACCTTCTGGTTCTTTTTCTTTTCTTTTTTTTTTTTTCCCTCTTGCTTTTTAAATTTTGACCTTTTCTTTTGAACATAAGTCACATTTTACAAGCAAGAAAATAGAATCAACCTAACATAACCTAGTTCTTCAGAGATCGGAGCTGTCTTGCAACGTTTAGCAGACTCCTACTGGAGTCCTAAATGCTAACAATAAGTTTACAAACTCTTGATAAAAATTTATCTCCATTTTCATTAGGAAATAGTCAAAAGCCCAGTCCTACAAGGATTACAATGACCCAAATTATATGCTGGAAACTCTACTGGGAAACTAGATCAAAGCAGGCCATTTTGATTGTCAGAAAATACTTTTATTTATTTATTTATTTTTTAGTACCGGGGATCGAACTCACAACTTTGGGCTTAATACTTTTATTTTGAAAACTTACTCTCTGGTTTAAAAAATTTCTGGTTGCCATCAACAAGAAAGCAAGTTAAAGAAAAAAAATAATCAAGTAATATGGACAGATATGTACAGGTGCATAGATATTTTAGAAATAAATTATGTAGTAACGAAATTAGACAACTGTATTCTTCCACTTGCTACAAGAATAAACTGACAGGGAAGACTAATGGAAGAGAAGTACTTCACTCTGCAGAGTGTGGTAGCAGAAGCAGTAGAACACTCTCCACTATAGAATAACCTGCTTTCCCAGATTATCAGTCCATGGCACCTACTCATGTAGAAAACCTGAGCTTTTGCCAGAGATAGGAGATAAAAAACAGAGTGTGCTCTAATTGTAAGCTCAGTGAACATTTCCGGGATGGATCCCTAACATCTAGCCGGTTTTATTAAACATCTGCTAAGGGCAGTATTCCTCAGCCCTCAGCCACGGTTTCTGCTCAGTATCTCAAAGATGGGTACAACTCCATCTGACTCTCCTTAGGGCTGAGGCGTCGTCATCAAAGTCTGGAATGTCATCGTAGGAGTAAGCCCAGTAGCCCTCGGATGTATAGTGAGCAAGGAGCAGATGGTAAAATCCTGGCAGGAACACCAGAAGGCCGGAGATCAGGGTGGGAACAGCCTGGTCTGCCCTCCTTCCCACCCTCAAACAGCCCTCCAGCAGCAGGGAGCCTATAATAAAAAAAGGTGCCGATCAAAACCAGCACAGTGGCCAGTGCATTGGCCTCCTGAGGGTCTCAGGAGGCCATCTCTTAACCTGCAGTAAGTGCCTCCTTGAAGGTCAAGGTAGCCATCATCTTGTGCTGGGGAACCCTGAGCACCATACTTCATGGCTGGGGATTCCAGTACCCAGACTGGTAGGAGACAGGCGCAGTAGAGACACCAGACGCCACGCGGCACTGCTCCCTGACTGTTCCCAGACCCACCAGTGCATGCCACAAGTTCCCAGGCCTACTTCTGATTTTTGATTTTGAGGACAGGGTATCGCTAAATCACTAAATTGCCCAGGCAGGGCTTGAATTTGTGATCCTCCTGCCTCGGCCTCTCAGAGTGCTAGGATTACAAGTGTACACCACCACACCCTGCTCCAGCTAATTGTTTACAATTGCTGCACGGAGGAAATTATTCTTTCCAGTAACTCTAATACAGGCTGTTCCTCTGTTTCCTTAAAGAGAACAAACTGGATTATTTCTTAAATTGCCACTAATATAAACTATGTTGCAATAAACTCATAGGGCGGGCATATGTATATTCCCAGTGAGTTTTCAGCTGGTTAACTTTTTAAATAATGCTTTAATTCCCTTTTTATCACTTCTTTTTTTAGTTCCTGGGCATTATGATCAAGAAGCTAAGAATAAAGATGCAATTCACCCCACTCAACTCTCATCCAGCTTTACCGCAGCCTAGTTCACTCCTTCTGAAAACAAAGCACACAGATTAGCACACACATAAAAAGAGTTTTATTGTATTATATTGTCAGCGCAGCAGCAGCAGCAGCACTGTTATCCCTGCTCCTATTCAGAAGCAAATAAGGCGGCCTCAGTAGCCAGGTGCCACTGCTAAGGGCCAGCAAAGATGACCCCACTTCATCCTTACAGCAGCCTGTAAGAGGGATTTTTACCCGATTGACAAATGTGGCAGTGGAGTCACGGAGTCACGCAGTCCACCTCTGCACATGCTGCCTGTTTGCTGCTTTAGATTTCTCGGTTCCACTAATCACCTTGGACCAAATCACACGTTTGACTTAGGTATCGGTCTCCACTTGCTAGCATACAAGCTTCTCAGGTAAGGGTTCTTTTCTGCTTTGTTTACTGGAACTGGGGGTGCTCAAGAAGTGTCTAAAGAATGAACCTCTCCCCAAATTCTCATCAATTAGTATGTGGCAGGCAGTCTAACGCCAAGAGAGTAACAAACTGTCTCATCTTCTTCTCGTTATTGGCAAACATGAATGGGTGACGGGGAAGATGACATCTTTGGTGTGTGATTTCTTTCCACATCCTAATTATTCTCCACATCAAGAAGAAAACAAGAATGAAAAAAGAAAATTGGTCTCAGAGACAGAGGGGAGCTCTTAAAGAGGAGGAGGATGAAAAATGTTCTCAGAAGCTCCACCTACAGGTCCCAGGTGGGGAAGAAGTCACTAAAATCTTCCTCACCCACCCAAGGAGTACACCCGGCCTCTGGGCCCACCCAAGACCAGAAGAGGCAAGGGGACACTAGGACAGTGGACCAAAGCACGCCACTCCACCTCTGCTGGTCCCATGGAGAACCTGGCCTCTCCCAGGCAAGGAGAGTCACATTCCCCTGAGTGTCCATGACCCCTTAATGCCCTCGGAGGCAAACCCCATGCCCCTTGACTGAATGTCAAGGCATGGATAGGGCACCAGGAAAATATCCAGGAATATGATCTAGTTTACACCTACAGTCTCTGGTGGCAGTAGGGTTGGCAACAATAAGAGTCCAAGACACAGCCAAGGAGCTCGGCCAAGGAGCAGTGAGCTGCTGCCAGAGTGGAGGGCTTCACCTTGTTCTGGACGCTCAGCTGACTCAGGAAGATAATTCAGATACACTGTTCATGGGGACAGAGATAAGTAGCACCCAGTGTTCCTGCTTTCTGTCTCACATACATACTTGTAAATGCAAAGTAACTGTTTGCAAGACCATAAATGCATGCGACCAGTAACTCTTAGAGGAAGAGTCATGGAGCTGCCAGAGTTTTAAGTCGGTATTCCTATTTTGTACAGAGAAAATGTGCTACTTTTATGATCTCAAAAAAATCTGTCACAGGAGCCACAGGGAGAATTTCGATCCACTGCCCTTCCCTACACCCTCAGACTAAATGTGGACAGTAAGCCCCATGTATCAACCAGACAAGGATGTGCATTAGGACCCAGGTGTGTCACTGCCACACAAGCACGAAAAAAACAAAGATGTTAATCAGATCAGGGTCTCCACGGTGGGCCCACCTCTCCTGTTCAGTTCTTCAGGGGTAAGTGCTTCAGTTAAGCTCCCTGCCAAGGGAGCAACAGCCATTGCACTTTTGGTTTGTGTGACCCAAAGGATGTTCCTTGTATGTATTTATTATTTATTGGGAACATTCCTTTAAAACCACACTGATGGGGGCTGGGGATTTAGCTCAGCGGCATAAGCGCCTGCCTTGCAAGCAGGCAGTCGTGAGTTCGATCACCGGTACCAGTAAAAAGGAAAAAGACAAAAAAAAAAAAAAAAAAAACCACACTGATGTGCCTTTTCCCATTACCTGTGAGATCTGCAGCCGGTCAGGTAGGTGCACTCTAAAAGCTAAGGGCCTGCCGGCAGGATCCTAAATTAGCAAGCACGCTGGGTCCCTACCTGCATCTCCATGCAGAGTTGCAACATTCCATGAAACGTTCTGGTTAGGGCTTAGGCTTGGGAGTCTAGATGTGAATCTCAACTTAATCAGTGACTTGGGTCTTAGGGCAAGTCACTAACCCTCTCTGTGACTCAGTCTCTTCAACTGCAAAATGGAAATAATTACAGAACCTTCCTCACCGGACGACTGTAAGGATGAAACGAGAAATGCTGCCAGGTGCGCAGGCTGTGCTGAGAAGGCTGCTATTAACCAGAAAGCGCCTGCAGCAGGCCCTGCACGTGTGAGGAGAGGCCTTACCCCTCTGCACGCCTTCCATGTTACAGAAGAAACTGGAGCCCAAAAGGGGGCACCACCTCCCACTTGTTGCACCAACAAAATGAACTTTCATAATCAGTTTCCTTTTGTGTGAACCCGGCACTTCCCCCAAACTGAAACATCAATGAAAAATATTCTTAAGTCCGGGTTGGGCAAGAAATCGGCCACTGGCACCCGGTCTGATCGCGAAGGGCCCTCTTTGGTTTGGACCAACACAGTCCCTGGGTGGCAGCAGACACCTTGTGGGGATCCTCCGCCCTCTCCCTATGTCGAGCAGAATATTGCCTCTTTCCCAGCTGCGTGGGTCAAGGGTGAAAGAGACCAAGAAAAGGAAAAATTCCTACAAAGACGGAGGGAGATGGACGCGTCTTCTGGCCAGTGACGGTGGGGGCCGGGTGCAGACACAGGCACTAAGAGGGCAGAAAGTTTAGGGCCGTCCAAACGGGGCCCATCGCGAGCAGCTGGATGAAGCTGAATTACAAGCCCAAACCACAGCGGGACAATGGGACGGAGACTGTCGGAGGCGGACAAGAGGACAAAATGCTCGCAGGACGGGAAGGGAAAGGGGAGCATAAAGATCACCCTCAGGAGCCCAGTGAGGGGGCGCTTGCCCAGCACGCACCAGGCCACCTGGGTTCAGTCCCCAGCACCGAAAAACAAATCAACCAGACCGTCTCGAACTGTTAAAATTCAAAACGCTAAAATACGCTTTTGGGGGAGTCAACCACAGCGAACCCCTCGGGTACTCTGGGTAAACTGAGGCCCGCAGCAGTCCGGGACGTTCCCTCCGAGCGGCCTGCGGGGACTCGGCCGAGCACAAAGCGGGGTCTCACCTGGTTGTAGAAGACTTCAGGCTGCTGGTTGGGGGTCGGGACTGCCTGCGCCGCTGCAGCAGACAGGAGCCGGCGGCCGAGGCGGGGCCCGAGGCCCGAGGCTGCGAGCGCGGCGGCGCGCAACATTCTGCGGCGAGATGGACAGGGGGACCCGGCGGAGGCGAATGACGGTGCGGGGGCGAATGCGGGGCGCAGCGGAGGACACGGCGCCCACCACCTCGCCCCGCCCCTCCTCGCCCTGCGCGCCCGCCAATGGGCAGGAGGGGGCGGGGCCGTCACCGCCCACCCTCGGGCCAGATGGGGAGGGGCGGGGCGGGGATGGGAGGGGCGGACGGGGCGGGGCGAGAGGGGAGGGGAGGAGCGGGCAGGGAGGGGCGGGCGGGGCGGGGCGGGAGGGAAGGGGAGGGGAGAGGAGGGGCGAGGATGGGAGGGGCGGGCAGGGAGGGGCGGGGCGGGGTGGGAGGGAAGGGTGGGGAGGGGCGGGGCGGGGCGGGGAGGAAAGGGTGGGGAGGGGAGGGGAAGGGAGGGGCGGGGCCACCCAGGCTTAGTGTGCTTGGCCGCTGCTCACCCCCTGCGTGGCAGAAGCACTAGACCTCGCGAATCCTGCCCAGCTCAGATGGACCCCCGAATGTGCGCCCGAGCCCCAAATGTGTCCTGGCCTGAACTACAGCCTCCTGACCCCTTGGGGCTGATGCTCCGGTGGGAGACAGCAGACCTAAAATCAAACAGGAGGTCTCGCAGACGGTGATGGGGGCCATGGAGGAGGTGAATGGGTTTGACATAGGGTGGGGGCACAGGAGATTGGTTTTAAACGCTAGGAGAGTTGAGGGCGTGGAAAAAAGGGTCGGGATGTAGCTGGGGAGAGGGACCCAAGGCAACTCTACAGGTTAGACCTGAATGAACAGCAGCGAGCTTGTAAAAAGGTCTGAGGAAGGGGACAGGGCAGGGGAGAAGGCCCGCACCGAGGCCCTGACGCGGGCCCAGGTGTCCTGCGGCCTCGGGACGGGGAGCGAGGGAGGCCGCGGTGCTCAGGACTGGACCCTTTGGCCTCTGCCTCTGGTGGCTTCTTCTCTGCAGAGGAGACTGCGGGGCAGCAGGTGTGGCAGTAAGGGATTTGCATATGCTTTTATTCCACGGACATCGCAGCAGGGAGTCAGAGGACACTGGCTCGGAAGGGGCCTGGTGACCAGTCAGACGTGCACATTTCAACAGATAAATGTCAGCGAACGCCCAAGGGGGAGGCGAAGAGCAGTGTTTGGCACAGAGATGGGCTTAGGGAAGAGGCTCAGCTACACGCCTGTCCAAGGAGCTGTTTGAGGCCCGAGCCCCTAGAACTGCGGCCTCAGGAGTTGGCCAAGTTCCACTGAGGAGGTACCAGGCTCGGGGCTGAGACCAACGAGGAGGGCACGGGAAGGAAGGCACTTTGTTTTCACTTTATTTCAAAGAGTGCACGCCAGCTGGCTGAACTTATCCCTGCTACTTGAGAGGTGGAGGCCGGAGCATTGCAAGTTCAAGGCCAGCCTAGACAATTTAACGAGATCATGTCTCAAAATTTAAAAAAAAGAAAAAAATTTTTGTTTTGATAAATGATTTAATATAGAGTGATTTAAACAATACCTGATGTGGCAGCTGGAGATTTAGTTCAGCGGCATAAGCGCCTGCCTTGCAAGCAGGCAGTCATGAGTTCAAACCCTGGCACTGATAAAAAGGAAAAAGACAAAATTAAAAAAAAAATACCTGATGTGTGAAGTACCAACTGTTATTATTACATGGTCTGTGCTGTATGTCAGGATTTATAATCCTTTATCCCAGTTTTCAAAATTATTTATTGGTACTTTTGTTTGTCTTTTTGAGACAGGGTTTCACTATGCAGTTCAGGCTGGCCTTGAGCTCACTTTGTAACCCAGGCTGCTCTCCTCCTGCCTCAAGCCTTTTGAGTGCTGGGATTAGAGGCACATGCTTCTTTTTTATCCTGTTTTTCTCTTCATTTTTTTCTTTTCCCTTCCTTACTCCCCCGCTCCAAGTTCCCCTTCACATTTGGACATTTTCTTTCTGTTTTACATTTTGGTGTTTACACTTTGGTTTCTCCCACCAAAGAAACGAGGAAGTATTTTAACATGAGTGTCCAATTTATTTCACTTAAGCGTATGGTCTCAGGGTGCATCCATTTACCTAGAAATGTCTCAAGTTTATCTTTATGGTAGAATAGTACTTCATTGTATTAAAAAAACACATCTTCGGGCTGGGGATTTAGCTCAGCGGCATAAGTACCTGCCTTGCAAGCAGGCGGTCGTGAGTTCAATCTCCGGTACCGATAAAAGTTGAAAAAAAAAATACATCTTCATTGATTGGCATTTGGGCTGTTTCTAAGATTTTTCTATTACAACTGTGCTGCTGTAAACATGCGTGTACAAATATCACTGTGGTATAACGCTTTTCTTTCAGGAAGATACCAAGAAGGAGAATAGCGGCGTCAAATGAAGCCTCTAGTTTTTGTTGTGGTTGTTGTTGTTGTATTTTTCCTTTTTATCGGTACCAAGGATCAAACTCACGACTGCCTGCTTGCAAGGCAGGCGCTTGTGCCGCTGAACTAAATCCCCATCCCCGAAGCCTCTAGTTTTAAGTTTTGCTTTGTTTTAGAAATCCTTACACGGATTTCCACGGTGCACCAGTCTGCATTCCCACCAATAGTGAAGAAGGGTTCCTTTTCCCCACAACCCCTCCAGCATTTGTTGTTGCTTATTTCTTAGTAATAGCCATTGTTTCTCAGGTGAGGTGGAATCTCAGTGTCCCTGCCACATTCTCCACTGCATTATGATGCTCAGCTTCAAACTTTCTAGTCAAATAGCTATTGTGTTGTGCTTTGCTTTGCTTTGCTTTGTTACAAGATTGTGTTATGTTGCCCGGGCTGGCCTTGATTTCCTGGACTCAAGTGTCTCTTCTGCCTCAGTCCCCTGAGTAGATGGGACTCCAGGCATTTACCACTATACCTGATTTCCTTATTTTGTTCGTTTGTTAGGCAAGGATGCACACCAGGCTTTGGGAATGTCTTCAGAATCTCTCCATATTCATGTGGAAGGCTGCAAGCATTTTAACATACAAACCATCTCTCCTTAAATAGTTGGCCGACCTGTGATTTTCCTCATAGTCGCTTTGGTCTTTCTGGCTTGCCAGTTATTCTAGAACAAAGCAGTACTATTCCATTGTATAAAAATACCACATCTTTCCTATCCATTCCTCAGTTGATGGGCATTTCGGTTGTTTCCAAGGTTTAGCTATTACAAATTGTGCTGCTATAAACATGGGTGCACATATATCACTGTGATATGATGTTTTCAGTTCTTCTGGGAATATGCCCAGAAGTGAAATAGCTGGGTCACTGGGACCTCCAATCCCAGCTTTTTGAGGGACCTCCACACTGATTTCCACAGTGGTTACACAATTCTACACTCCCACCGACAGCGCGTAAGTGTTCCTTTTTCCCCACAGCCTTTCCAGCATTTGTTATTGGTAGTTTTCTTGATCCTGGCTATTCTTTCTGGAGTGATATGGAATCTTAGTGTTGTTTTAATTTGCATTTCTCTAATAACCAAAGATGTTGAACATTTTTTAAAATATTTATTTGCCGTTTGTATTTATTTATCTGAGAAGTATATATTCATCTCAGATGTCCATTTTTGGATTGGGTCTTTGCATTTCAGGGGTCTGCTTTTTAAAAATTCTTTATATGTTCTAAATAGAAGTCCTTTGTCTGAAGGACAGTTGACTAAGATTTTTTTTCCCAATTCGTGGGTTTTCTTTTCACTCTGTCAGAGATTTCTTTTGACCTGCAAAAACTTTTTAATAAGTTGAGATCCCAGTTGTTGATTCTAGGAAGTATTTCCTGTGCACTTTGATTTTTGTTCATGAATTTTCTGCCAAGCCCTATGTCTTCAAGATTTCTATCTACTTTGTCTTCCAGTAGATTTAGTGTTTCTGTTTTAATATTGAGATCTTTGATCCATTTTGACTTTAGTACATGGTGATAGACATGGCTGTAATTTTAGTTTTTGGCATAGGGATAGCCAATTTTTCTAGCACCACGTATTAAAGAGGCCTTCTTTCAGTGAACATCTTTGGCCCTTTATCAAAGATAAAGTGGGTACACGTGTTGTAGTTGTGATTGTATTTTCTAATCTATTCCATTGATCTTCAGTCCTATTTTTTTTTCTAGTACCATGCTGATTTTATTATAGTAACTTTGCAGTATAACTTCAAGTCAGGGATTGTGATTCCTCCTGCTTTGCTTTTGTTGTCCAGAATTGCCTTTGCTATTCTAGGTCTCTTTTGATTCCAGATGAACATAGAGAAGCTTTCTTTCTTTTTTTTGGGGGGGGGAAGCTTTCAAAGATGAGTTACTGAGATACAAAAGAACATAAAAAGTGGATTAAAACAAAAACAAAAATTCTGAACAGAAGGAATGGATAAATTACTACACACGACTTGGTGTGTTTTTTTTGGAGGGTGGAGGGTTGGTACCAGGGATTGAACTCTTAGCCTTGCACTTGCCAGGAAGGTGCTTACACCACTGAGCTACAGAACTTTTGTAGCTATTCTTTTGCCAAAAGAATAGCTTTTTCCCCCAAAAGGTCTTGTGCATGTTAGCCAAGTATTCCACCACTAGGGTACATCCCAGCCCTTAAAAAAATTTTGGCAGCTGTGCCTCAGACAAAGGACTAATATTTAAAAAAAATCACACCCCTTAAATTTAAAACTCAGAAAAAAAATTTTAAAAACTCAGTCCAAAAATGGGCATCTGAAATGAATAGACACTTCTCAGATGAAGTAGAAATGGTAAATAAATATATGAAAAAATGTTCAGCTCACTGGTCACTCAAGAGATGCAAATTAAAACAACACTGAGACGATGTAGACACAGGATGGCCTTAAAAAGGGAACTAAGCATACATCATCTACTGTTCTCTCTCTTAAGATTAGTCCATGGGCTGGGGATTTAGCTCAGCGGCATGAGTGGTGCCTGCCTTGCAAGCAGGCAGTCGTGAGTTCGATTCCAGGTACCGATAAAAAAGAAAAAGACAAAAAAAAGATTAGTCCATTTCCTGTATAGTTCCCCAGCATACTATTAATATCAGTTATAATGCAAGGAAAGGGTAAGGAGGAGGCAGCTGGCAGTCCTCACTCATGCCATAGACACCTGAGGCATTCACTGTTGGAGAAACAT